CATGCTAGGCGAGCGTGCTACCACTTGAGCCACATCCCCAACTCCAAGGATGGATTTTTGGATCGTTCCTTATAGCTTTACCATCTCTTATCATTAGGCGGAGTTTTGCTTGGTTTGCCTCTTTTGTTTATGAATGAGTTAATCTTGCCACTAGCATACTACTACTTTATGCATGTGGTGTGGGGGGGGTAGCTTTGCCTTCATGGTTTGCACACAGGGTTGGTAAGGTGGCCATTCAACCAGTTCACTCAGTTATTCCTCTGCTCTTCTGTGGGCCTTGGGTTGTTTCAGATTTATCTATTTATTTATTTTTGACTTTGATAATAATGTTATTTTTATTTTGCCCCCAAATACTAATGCATCATCAGTTATTTTTTGCAGAATGGGATAAAAACTGTTGATTTGTAGACTGGATAAGTTCGAATTTAGTTGGAGATTGTGTTAGTACATGAATTTATCATTTGACCTTTCATGGATTTGTGTGCTCTGCCAATGCTTGGAATGCTTATGTGGATACATCACGTATGATTGTATTTTGCTTCCTGCTCATTAACTTTGGCATTGAATTACTTGTAAATGGCCTTCTCTGCCTCCTCCCCCAGTATAATGGCATTGCGATTTTATTTTCCAATCCAGTTGTTTATAGTTGATCTATAGCCAATTGGTGAGTTTTCTATATTAATCTACTATCATACAAACTTGCTGTAAGCCCTTTTTAATTCCAGGAAATACTCTTCTTTTCTTTCCTTTTTTTTTCCCCTCTAATTCTTTGGGGTTTTCTATATTTACAAAGTTTGTTAATTTTCATTTTAGATGAAATACTTAAATTTTGTTGAGACTTCCCATGGACACATGTTAGTTAAAAGGACACATTAGTGATTTGAGGATGGGACATGGCTCAGCGGCAGAACACTAGCCCAACATGAGCTTGGTCCGGGTCAGATCCCAGTCATTTTGCGCTCGAGTGTGTGTGTGTGTGTGTGTGTGTGTGTGTGAGAGAGAGAGAGAGAGAGAGAGAAATTTCATCTCTAATTCCTCTCAGATTTTATTTTGTTTTGTTTTGGTACCAGGGATGGTTGAATCCTGGGGTGCTTAACCACTGTGTCACATCCCAAGCCTTTTAAAAATTTTATTTAGACACAGGGTCTCACTGAGTTGCTTAGGGCCTCAGTAAGTTGCTGAGGCTGGCCTTGATCTTGTGATTTTTCCTGTCTCAGTCTTCCAAGCCTCTGACATTACAGGCGTGTGCCACTTCACCTGGCCCCCAAGTTCTCCATCTATATCTCTGTCATCAAGTTCTACTTGAAATCTATTGTGATGCAAGGACATAACCTATATGATTGGTTAAGGTGTGTTTTGTAGTACAAAACATGGTCTTTATTGGTGAATATTCCTCAGGATCTTGAGAAGATGTGAACTCTGTAGTTGTTGAATGAAGTATGCTGCAATCTCAAATGTCTCCACTTGATGGATGATGCTGTTGATTTCAACTGTGTCATTACTAAACTTTTTATTTTTATTTTATTTATTTATTTTTGGTACCAGGGATTGAATACAGAACTGCTTTACCACTGAGCTACATCCCCAGCCCTTTTAAATTTTTTGAGACAAGGTCTCTCTAAATTGCTGTAATCCTCCTGCCTCAGTCTCCCAAGTTGCTGGGATTACAGACGTGTACCTTCATGCCTGGCTACATTTTTGCTTTCTTGATCTGTCAACTATTGTTGGAGGTGTTTTGAAGTCTACAGATGTAATTTTGGATCTGTGATCTTCCTTTCAGTTCTCTCTTTTTGCCCATGTGGTTTGTTGCTGTGTTTAGGAGAATACCTTGTAAGGAATTTATGTGTTCTTGAAGAACCAACTGCTTTATTTAATTAATCCCTTATTATTTCCCTTGAGGTTCAGCTAAATCTACTTGTGTTTTTGTCTTATTTTAATTCACATTTTATTGACATATAAAAGTAAATATATTTGTCATACAAAAATGCTTTTTGGAAATACATATAAATTGCATGGTGAATATATACACTATCTCATACTTATCATCTTTTTGTCATGAGATCACATAAAATCGAATTCCTTAGTGACTTCCTGGAGTGCAATGATACAATAAATTTGATAGACCCAGCCTGATTTTCTCTTAAAATTGGGAACCATCTCTCCACAAAGCCATGAAAAGATAATTTCGGCTTTAAATTTAAATGCTATAAATTACTGCAAATTCTGAACCTGCTTGCAATGCCTGCCCGTGCCTTGAACTCACCCATGCCTGGCTTTCTGACCAGATAGCAGCCCTCTCTGAAACTTTAGTGACGCCTCATCAATCCTGGCCTTCCCTGGCCAGACAACGACCCTCTCTGAGGCTCTAATGACCTTCATAAATTCTTTTTTAAAAATCATTTATTTATTTATTTATTTTAGTTCTCGGGGGACACAACATCTCTGTTTGTATGTGGTGCTGAGGATCGAACCCTGGCCTCACGCATGCCAGGCGAGTGCGCTACCGCTTGAGCCACATCCCCAGCCCCATGCCTTCATAAATTCTGATGTTGAGGCCAGCAAAAATGTAAACTACCATTTGTGTTATGCTCGTCAGAGTTTTATTATCTGTAAACCCCCCCACCCCCCATGGTTTAGATATGAAGGGCCCCCCAAACAAACCTCACATGTGAGACAATTCAAGAAAGTTTAGAGGTGAAATGATCGGTTTATGAGAGCCTTAACCTGATCAGTGCGCTGCCCCCCTGGGTGGATGAGCTGGTGGTGATCTAGGCAGACAGGGTGTGCTGGAGGAGGAGGTGACAAAGGGGGCATGCCTTTAGTGCACACAGTGTCCCTGGCGAGCAGAGCTCGCTCTGCTTCCTTTTTGCCATGTCCTGAGCTGCTTACCTCTGCCACACCTTGTAGCATGATGTCTGCTCACTCAGGCACAGAGCAGTGGAGCTGGCCATCTCAGACAGACCTCGGAAGCCATGAACCCCAAATAAACTTTTCCTCCTCTTGAAATCATTTTTGTCAGGTCTTTTGGTCATGGAGGCGAAAAAGTTGACTAAACACCATCCTTTCATTTGTTTTACTATCCTTTGATATTCTCCAATAAACACTATAATGTTTTTCTGTTGGTATCCTGAATCGTCCTTCATGAGTCCTGTTCAGAATTTAATTCCAGTTGATCTATAATAAACCATATATACAAATTACCAAATGTTCTTTTAGTGCAGTCACAAAAAAATGCATTGAATTTGTAACAACAGACGATAAGTATGAACTACAGACCATCTCTAGATTGATCATCCACAGTGTGCTAAGGGGAAGATGAGGTAGGCTGCTTTTGATGAACATATTATTACATTTCAAACATTCAGAGGGACAACTGGAGTTAAACAGGTTATATATTTTTGGCATCAACTGGTTTGGAACACCAAGACCTTCTTTGCAATTAGGATGGTGAGGTCCATCCCAATAGTATTTCCCAAAAAACAGCAAGGGTCAAAGTTTGTTCTTAAGTATCTCCAGGAATAGGCAGTCTCAGGACGGTTGCTGTTAAGTCTCATGCACACTAAATAGCAGTACTGTGTTGTGAGAGGGGCTGACCTCTACAAAGAGCAATTGGAGTGACCCAGTAGCACAACAGGTGTTCTGTTCTGCTGCTGCTTTACCTGCTAGTTCCAGTGCGACATCGTAATTGCTGTGTGAGAGGATCTGGGGGTGATGGAAGTGCCCGAGTGTGACAATCGAGTGGTGGCATATTGAGAGAACATAATATCATGTGAAATTCTTATGAAATGAGTCTAGATCTCTAGTGCCATGAGTCTTACCCTTTCTCCTGGAAATATATGTGGGATGTTTTAGGAGTCAGTGACATTTGAGGATGTGGATATCACTTTCACCCTGGAGGAATGGGCTTTACTGGATCCCTCCCAGGAAAAAACTCTACAGAGATATGAGGAAGGAAAACTACAGGAACCTGACCTCGACAGGTAAGCGTGACATTCCCACTCGTAGCCAGTCAGATAACAATTGTTACCGGCTTGTCAATACTGTTCCATGGTCACATTATACCATGAATCTAGCAAGAATCTATTCTTTTTTTTCTACAATATTGTAATTAGTCATAATGGCTTGTTTTGGTCTATATTTTAGAAAAATAATGGGAAACTCAAGCCACTGATAATTGTCACAAAAATTCCGGGAGAAATATAAGGTAATTTGCACTCACAAGAGAAAGCAAGGTACATCATGAATCTTAGAGTAACATAAAATTTTAAAAACAAGCAGATGGTACAAATACGCTCAGCTTCAAATTGATTTAATCTCATTTTTCTCCAAAATTGCATACAGATTGAGCATCCATTATTGGAAATTCTGAGATCCAAAATGTCCCAATAGAGGCCACATCTGTATCACTGACATGAGACCACAGTGGTACTCTCCCAGTTTTTAATACACAGACTGTGTTCCATACACAAATTATTAAAAATGTTTTTATGAAATTACCTTCAGGTTTTGGGTATAAAATGTTCATGAAATAAAAATGAATTTTAGATTTAGATTGGGACCCATCTTGATATCTTATTAAGCCTATGCAAATACTACAAAATCCAAAACACATTCGGTCCCAAGCGTTTTGCATAAGGAATACTCAACTGTATTTAAATGTGCTATAGATATTCAGTGTTAGCAAAATACTTTGAAGCATTAGTAAGGAACCAAATGTCCATATCACCGTTTTGATAACCGCTGTACTCAAGCCATCCTCTAGTGTTTTCAGTCCGTTCATGGTCAACAATTGTTACAGAACATAAAACTTCCGGGGTATTATTAATAAACTCTTAGTGATGTGCTTCTCATTTTTTTGTAGTGGGCAAGTAGTACAGAGACTCTATAAAGATGACAGTTGGTGTGGTGACCACTTCAGCCCTATTCTCCACTCTGTTGTGAACAAGAAAACACCTCCGAGAGTCAAACCAAGTGAAAGCTCTGTGTGTGGAGAAGTGGTCATGGGTGATTCTCCCCTAAATGTGCCCCTGCCAGCTCACACTGGATACAAAGCACATGCATGTCAGGAACACAGAGAGAATTCATATAAAGATAAGGAATATGCAGAAGCCTCCAGGTATCCCCAGTGCTTTCAGAAGAGGGAAAGGATTCACACTGGGAAGAAGCACCATGAATGTAAGCAACTTGGGCAAGTCTTCAGTCATCCCAGTTCCCTTCCACTACATGAAAGAACTCACCCTGGAGAGAAACCCTGCGAATGTGAGCAATGTGGGAAAGCCTACCATAATTCCAGTGCCTTCAGAAAACATGAAAGAACTCACACTGAAAGGAAAGCCTGTGTATGCAAGCAATGTGGAAAAGCCTTCAGTAATTCTGGTTACATTCAAATGCAGGAGAGAACCCACACTGGAGAGAAACCCTATGTATGTAAGCACTGTGGGAGAGCCTTTACGTTTCTCAATTCCCTTCAGAGACATGAAAAAACTCACACTAGGGACAAACCCTATATATGTAAGTATTGTGGAAGGGGATTCAGTTCTTCCTGTTACATCAAAATACACGAAAGAACCCACAGTGGAGAGAAACCTTATATATGTAAACAATGTGGGAAAGCCTACTGTGATCCCAGGTCCTTCAGAAAACATAAAGCGACTCACACTGGAGAGAAACCCTATGTATGTAAGCAATGTGGAAAAGCCTTTAGTTCTTCCAGCCACATTGAAAAACATGAAAAAATTCACTCTGGAGAGAAGGCCTATGTCTGTAAGCAATGTGGGAGAGCCTTCACTTTTCCCAGGTCCCTCCAAAGGCATGAAAGAATACACAACACAGACAAACCCTGTACATGTAAGCAGTGTGGGAAAGGCTTTCATTCTTCATATTACTTTAAAAGACATGAAAGAGCACACAGCAGGGTCAAACACTATGTATGTAAGCAATGTGAGAAAGTCTTTTATGATCCCTGCTCCTTCAGAAGACATGAAAAAACTCACATTGAAAGGAAAGCTTCTGTGTCTACGCAGTGTGGAAAGGCCTTTAGTTCTTCCAGTTACATTCATAAACATGAAAAAACGCACACTGGAGGGCTGGGGATGTGGCTCAAGCGGTAGCACGCTCGCCTGGGATACGTGCGGCCCGGGTTCGATCCTCAGCATCACATACCAACAAAGATGTTGTGTCCGCTGAAAACTAAACTAAATAAATAAATATTAAAAAATTCTCTCTCTCTCTTAAAAAAAAAAAAGAGTTACCAAGAGAACAGATCTCTAAGGACAGACCAATTTTAAAAAAAACAACAACAAGAACAAAAAAAAACGCACACTGGAGAGAACCCCTATGTATGTAAGCAATGTGGGAGAACTTTTAGTCATTTCATTTCCCTTCAAATACACGAAAGAACTCACACCGGAGAGAAGCCTTATGTATGTGAGCAATGTGGGAGAGCCTTCAGGGAATCCAGTACCTTTCACAGACATAAAAGAACTCACACCCGGGAGAAGCCCTATGCATGTAAGCAGTGTGGGAAAGCCTTCAGTCAATCCAGTTATGTTGTCGTACACCAAAGAGCTCACACTGGACAGAAACCCTATGTATGTAAGCAGTGTGGGAAAGCCTTTAGTTATTTCAGTTCCCGTAAAATACGTGAAAGAAGTCACAGTAGAGAGAAGCCCTCTCGCAGTGGAAAGAAGTCCTATGTAAGTAAGGATTGTGGAAAAGCCTTCGGTCGATCCAGTCATGTTCTCAGACATCAGAGAACCCAGGCGTGTAGGCAACGGATGTGTGAAAACCTTCCCTCAGTGCAGTCACATCCTGGTACAGGAAAGAAGTCAAACTGGAGAGTGACCCTGAATAAAGAATGTGGGAAGACCTCATTGTCTCCTGAAGACTCTAGCAAACGTGAGAATGCAGAGACAAGACCTTGATGAATGGATGGAAAGCCTGTGGGAATGCCTGAGGTCATCTTGGTTCATTGTACACCTAGGAGTGAACACAGCACGGAGAGAAACAACACTGCATGGAGAGAAACCTGGAATAGAAGACGAGTGCAGAAACCTTTTGTCCAACACTGGGTCAAAAAGCTGTGAATGGAAAATAGAAGGAATTGGTCAGTTGTAAGAAAGAGTTTGAACATCTTCCTCATGTAGTGGGATCCTGGAAATGTCATTAATATGAAAAACTGCATGCCAGTTAAAATTGTTTAAAATGCTCTGTCAAATATACTACCTGAAGGAAATGTGCTAAAAGTCTAAATGTACCGGGTTCATCAGTGACTCATTCTGAAAGGAGATTTCCGCACTGTGTATTTCTGATTTTTACTCTTGAAAATAAAGCTCATGGCCACATACCTCTGCAAGTTTTGTCTAGGCAACAGTGTGTTGAGTTTCCCAGGTAGTGCCCTTTTCAGTTAAATCAAGTGATGAGTATTTTTCCTTTCATTTTGGCCATGTTGGATCCACAGGCAAAATGAAGCACAGTTCGGATATGCCAGGAAGCTTGATTTCTATGTAGTTTTAAAAATACTTGTGGTTAATGGTACACTAAAAAATGGGGTTTTGTGAGTCGGCATTTTCCTACCGGTTTCTTTTGACAGGTTTACCCTTTTACTCATGTTTGTTTCTCTCTCTCTCTCTCTCTCTCTCTCTCTCTCTCTCACACACACACACACACACAACACACACACACACACATCATTCTTGGGGAAAATTTACAGTTTTTACATGGATTTTATATTTTTCACCTTGATGTATAGTTTGTTCAAACAATATTCTTTTTTTTAATTTTTTTTTTACATAACCTCAGTAGGTCCTTTTTAAAAAAAATCTGTTTTGTTTATTTATTACTATGTGGTGCTGAGGATTGAACCCAGAGCCTCACATGTGCGAGGCGAGCACTCTGCCACTGAGCCACAGCCCCAGTCCCCATGTTCCAACAACATTCTATATGTGTTTTTTGAAAGAGTTTGCTAAGTGGTTTTTTTTTATTTATTTCTTCTTTTTTCACAAAGTCTAAAAGTTTTAAATACAATTATAATAATAATTGAGAGCTAATTTATGGAATATATTTGCTCATTAGAAAAAAGGTAATTCTATTTCATAGGAATCACAATTTGCTTAACTGTGAGCTCAAACTTATCATTCCCCACCATCAAATTAATTACAAATATCATCTATATAAATCATCCTTAGCTCAAGGGTCATGTGCTGGGGTCCTGCCCTAACAGGGTCCAGGGAGTCCTGAAGGATGAGTGGCGTCGGCGAAATGATGAGACAGGAGTCGTTCCGTTGGAGCAATCTCCAGAGAGAGAGCTAAAGCAGCTTTCTCTGGGTCCTCTTTTATTACAATTTTTCTCATCATTATGGATTCAGAATACGTCATTAATTATATAATTTAAAACTTTGCCAAGACATGACATTTCCTTAACCATGATTGGGGGTACAAAAAATGTAACATTAATTTACATTTTTCCAGGATATGACCTTCAGTTATGTAAGTAAAGTACAGAATCGTTAATAAAATACGTCACTAATTTACATTTTTCAGATTTTCCCAAGATTTACTATTTTTCCCAAGATATGCTATTTTCTTATTTACTAATGCCAAACTACGTATCCAAGACTCTAAGTCTCCTAACCAATCATTAACCTAAAGTACACTTGTACTTTATTTCTAATCTAAAATTCCCATCTAAAAAAGTCCCTTTAAATCTTATATTTAAAACATCCTAAAGTTTATAAATCATTCTTAAAACATATCAGAAACCTCTACAACTAAAAACTTAAGAATTTCTAAACTTAAGAATCTAAATAAAATAATATTTCTAACATTATTCTAAAACTGTGTCTTATAAAGCTATTTTAATTAATTCCTAAATTTATTCTCATAAAACTGGTTGAGCTGCTTTCTCAAAGAGTTTCTTTGTTTCTCAGTCAAGGTGCACTAGTTCTCATATCTTTATAATCTTTCTCAATAGAAAGTAAGTTCTAAAAATCAATCCACTTTCCACCAATATTAACTATGCTCATCATATATCCCTATGTAAAGTAAGAAAGGGTTTATAAAAAGAGAAGAATATATCTTTATATGTTTTAACTTTCCTAAGTGTATAATATAACTTTCCTTAATCAAAAATGAGACTACATGTGGTGAACTTTGTAAAATAAGGATACTGATTAGGTTTTCTAAGAGGCCGGAAATATGGGCTTGGGTTCTAGTTGATATAATGTGGTGCCTAAAATTCTCATGACCTTTCAAAGGATGATTGTTGTCCGTTATCAGGTTTGTCCACAATGTACTGAGATAGAAGAACAGCCTTCTACTTTGTCCTTGATATGCTGAGGGGTAGTAGAACAGCCGCCAAGGCATGAACTACCTGTTGTGTTCTAGCCATCTGAAATTTAATTTGTTTGGCATTTAACATACTCATGCCTCCTGTCAGGAACATAAGCATGAAAATGAAAAGTCCCAATTACATAAAAAAGGGTCTCATGGTTTCGGTTTCCCACCAACCAGCACGGCTTTGCCAGCATTCATCCTCACTGTGACCCTGTCAAGACAGTGGGAGAGCGGCTTTGCCAACACTTTTTCTCACTGTGACCCTGTCAAGACAGTGAGTGGGGGATCGCCTTCACCAGTCATGCAAAATCAGATGGTCAGAGCTGGCCTCAGACCTTAGTTTGATAACTAAGAAATTTTCACTGGAGCCATGGAGAGTAACAGATCAAAAGAAAGCAAAGAACAGGAATAAGAAATATTATAACTTAACATTTTTTTCTGAAATACATGCATGTGCTTCTTTATTTCACATTTCATTTTATTTGACCTTGCCAAATACATTTTCTTGGAGATGGATTAGAATTACTCAGCAAAAATGAAAAGGAAGAGAATCTGCTGAGTCTTTGACTTCCAAAATGAAATTTTTTTCATTTTTAGTTAGACCAGAATATTGATGTCAATCACAAGTAAGAGAGTCAAACCTTTTTATAATTCCTTAATTTCCTATCAAGAACCAAGTTTTTGGGCTGGGGATATAGCTCAGTTGGTAAGAGTTTGGCATATTTTTTCCCTTGCTTTCAAAAGTTACGTTTTGCTTTCTGCTTTTTTTTTATTATTTTTTTTTTTTTAGTTGTAGATGGACACAATATATATTTTTAATGTGGTGCTGAAGATCGAACCCAGTGCCTCCCGTGTGCAAGGCGTGCACTCTACCACTGAGCCCCAACCCCAGCCCCTCTGCTTTTATTTTTAATGGATGCACAGAAACACAAGTGTACATATTAATGGGAAAAATAATATTCCTTACATGTATAGATTGTGTGATGCTCAAGGAGGTTAAACATGTTTGTTCCCTTTCTTTGTGGTGAAACCTTTCAAAATCCTTCCTTCTAACTTTGAACAGTGCAGTGAATAATTGTGATCTATTTCTCTGCAATAGTAAGTACTTCAGCGCTTCTTGTTCTTACTTGAACAACTTCTCCACACCCCACTCTCCACCCTTGGGTAATCATCATTCTAGGGTCAACCCCTGCTAGGTGAACTTGTTTAGATTCCATGTGAGAGTGAGATCAAGTCACATTTGTCCATCTGCACCTGAGTTTTTTCACTTAACATAATCTCCATTCCCATCCATGTTGTTGCAAATGACAGGATATGTATTCCCCTTCCTCCTCTTTATGGTACTGGAGTTCAAATTCAGGATTTGGTAAATGCTCTACCACTGAGCTACATTCTCAGCCCTGATTTCGTTCTTTTTAATGGTTGCATAGTATTCTACCACATATATTTACCACGTTTTCTTTTTCCATTCATTAGTTGAGAGACACAAATTGTTTCTGTTTCTCAGTTATTGTGAATGGTGCTGTGATGAACATGGAGGTACAGATGTTTCATCAATATTCTAATTTCATTTCCTTTGGACATATACCCAGTAATGCAATTACTGGTTCATGTGGTGCAGAGGATCAAAGTTATATATTTTAGTTTAAGAAGTTATATATTTTAGTTTAGGTGTAATCTCCATATTGTTTTCCATAATAGCTGTACTAATTAACTTTTCCACCAAAAGTGACCCTTTCCTTCCCATTCTCACTATTGTTATCTTTATTCTTTTTTATAACAGTCATTCTTACTGATATATCACTGTGGTTTGGATTAGCATTTCCCTGGTAAATAATAATATATCTGTTGGCCATTGTATCTCATCTTTTGAGAAAGTGAATTTAGATCTATTGTCCATTTTTTGGATTGGGTTATTTGTTTTTTAACTAATAATTCTTAGAGTCCTTTATATATCCCATCTACCAACCCCTCGACAGATTTGTATGTCGCAAATATTTCCCACCATTCTGTAGGTTGTCTTAGAACTCTGTTGTGTGTCTTGCTGGACAAAGCTTCTTAGTTTTATGTTATCCCATTTGTCTGTATTTGCTTTCGTTTCCTGTGCGTTTGTGGTCTTTCCAAAAATATCCTGGTCCATTCCAGTCTTCTGAAGCATTTCCTATATGCTTCTTCTAGTAACTTCATAGTTTCAGGTCTTACATTTAAGTCTTTTAAACTAATTTGGATGATCTTTGTGACTGGAGTGAGACGGGGTCTGATTTCATTCTTCTGCATATGGCTGTCCAATTTTCCCAGGACCAGTTATTGAAAAGAGTATCCTTTATTCACTCGTGTTCTTAGCCTCTTTGTCACAGTCAGGTGGCTGTAGGTAAGAGGGCTCACTTCTTGGCTTTCTGGTTTTTTCCATGGATATTTATGTCTGTTTTTGTACTAGTGCCATAGCTGTTTTTTGTTTTTGTTTTTGTTTTTGTTTTTTTTTGTGTGTGTGTGTGTGTGTGGTTCTCTGTCCATTTTAAGATTGCTTTATAGCTCTGTGAAGAACGCCATTGTCATTTTGCTAGGGATTGCATTGAATCTGTAAGTTGCTTTGGGCAGTGTGGGTATTGTTAACAATATTTATTCTTCCAGTCTATGAACACAAGATGTCTTCCCACTTTTTTGTGTCTTCCTTAGTTTCTTTCATCTATGTTTTGTAATTCTTATCTTAGAGATCATTCATTTTTTTATTAAATTCATTCCTACATATTTTTTCCTTGTATATGGGATTGCTTTCTTCGGTTTCAGACCATTCACTATGGCATGTCACAATTCTACACTTTTGCTATAGATATTGCTATGTCATGTCTCCATTTCCACTTGTCTCAAAGCAACTTTTAATTCTATTTATTTATTTACGTGTTTATTTTGGGGGCAGTACTGAGTATGGAACCCACAGCCGTCACATGACAGACTTTATGACTGCTGCTGAGCTGCCTCCCAGTCTTTAAATTTTTATTTTGAGACTGGGTCCCGTTAAATTGCCTGTGCCAGCCTCAACCTTGCTATCCTCTTGCCTTAGCCTCCTGCTTGCTGAGATTACAGGTAGATGTCACCACATCTGACTTAAATTCCTTCTTGATTTTTTTTTCTTGA